CCGCACGATGAAATGCATGGAATTGATTCATCCAATATTTTTGAAAACCACTTATGGTCTCTGACCTGAAGGGGTCCATAAACTAGGCAGGCAGGGTGTGATGTGACTCATCTGAGTTAGGGGAGATGATCAGTCTCATTCCGCTCAAGAAATTGCCACACTGGCTTCTTCTCATGCAGAGAATAACAGTTGGTCTGCAGGGAGCATAAAGAACCCCCACTAGGCCAGGCCTTATGCAGAATGGGAGAGGCTACAGTTATCTTTTATGTGTCTGCATTACTTTTCTGTTGCTGTGCAACAAATTACCACAAACTTAATGACATAAAACAGTACAAAAGCATTATCTCACGGTCTCTGTGTGTCAGGAGCATGGGTACAGGTTAACTGGGTCCTCTGCTCAGGGTGTCACCAGACTCAAATCCAGGTGCTAGACAGGGAAGCAGTCCTTATCCAAGGCTCTGGGTCCTCTTTCAAGCTCACATGGTTACTGGCAGAATTTGTTTTCGTAAGGTCATATGACTGAGGTTCCCATTTTCTTGCTAGCTGTTGGCTAGCAATTGCTCTTAGATTCCAGAGCTTGTCTATAATTCATAGCCGTGTGGCCTCCATAAGCAGTTCACCTTTGGCTGTTTGCTACTCCCCAGGTCAGCAGAAGCTTATCTCTTTGACACTTCACTTTCTTCTAAAGGCTCACTTGAGTAGGTCAGTTCTACCCAGGGTGTTGCTCAAGATTATTCAGAAACCTTTGTCCTCACTGCCACCACCATGTCTGAAATATTATCTGCCATCTGGACTTTCAATGCACTCTGCATTCATCAGATCATAACTCAAAGTCAACTGATTAGCAACCAGATCATGGGAGTGACATCCCATCATACTCACAGGTCCTGCCCATATTCAAGGGGAGGGGGTCATATAGGGCACGTTCAGAAGGGTGTGGGAATCTTGGTCATTTGGGAATTCTGCATTCCAGTGTCTTCCCACCCACGTCCTTGCATTTTCACCTTGATGTGTTGGATGTCTTGGCCTCCAGAATCAGGTAGCTGCAGTCTTCAGAATGAACATTTCCCCATCCCCTTTGTCAATATGCCTTTAAACAAAATAGAACAATATTTTATAAAAGGAATTAATTGGTAATGTTAGAGTTTCAGGTAATGTAATGAGCACTTGCTTTTGTATTGTCAATGCTTAGCAGAGTGTCTGGCACTTAGGAGCCCTCAATTTATGTTTCTTCAATAAATGAATATGTGAATGATTATATGAGAAATATTTTGGGCATCCTCATCAGATTGCATCCATGTAAAAAATGCC